GCCAAATCAGCTTTGCTGCAGTTTTAAAAACAAGAGTTGTATTTTTTTATGAAAAGCTAGCTCCACAAATTTAAATTATAGGAATGAAAAATTAAATAGAAATACACTAGTTACAATACCGGGTGAAACCATGTTATTACATGCCAGTGTAACTTTACTAAGGTAGTAAATTTTCTTGTTTACACAGAAGATGTGAAAAGAGAAAGACTGAAAGAAAATCTTGTCTTTTGCTGAGAAGTTCTGAGATGATTTTTTTTTATATCTATTCAGTCAAGAAGTTGATACATTGCAAACAAAAAGAAAGCACTGCCACAGGCAAATAGGTAAGCTCGTCATCACCTTAGAAATTTAAACATCACTGGATTTCTCTCCAAAACTGTAGTGATTAAACTTCATGTTCTTTTGTACAGTAGCTTTAGTAAACAAGGTTTAAAACAAAATGAATTCCTAGCTATCAATTTCATTTGTGAAACAATTCAGATCAAATCATTTGAGCCCTTTTCTGCCTACTCACATTAACCAGTCAGTCTTTAAGGCAAACAAATCTGAAACTGTTTTCACTCCATCCCTTCCTTATAGGGCAAGGTATTTAACAAAACTTCAAGATATCAGGAATACAATAGAAAGCCATCATGGAGTATTTCACCGTGCAGTATCAGGTTTCTCATATTAGAACTAACCTAACAGGACAGGTGGAAAGGAATAAAGAGGGGAATGGAAAAGAAAGAAGTACTGCATGATTATCTTTGAACCTGCCCACCACATTTTTAACAAGAGTTCTCCTGGGTACTAATGCACCAGAAAAACTTCCTACTTCACAGCTTTAGGGCCCAAATCTTTAAGAGTAGGGCTGCAAGGTCACACTATCCCAAACAGTCAGAGCCAGCACTAGACCCTGTTTTACACAGCTATTGACAGAAAATACTGCCAACGTATGATTGGGGATGTAAAAATCACCACGAGTGAGTCTGGTTTTCTGTCCAAGCTCAATGCAGGAGTTCAAGGAGATTCTTGCTCACCATACTGGCCTCTCTCAGTTCTCTTCAAAGCCTGATTAATTCTCAGAAATTTTTTGCTTTAGTTTTTGATTATCCTCCAGTGCTTCATTTTTGTTCTGCTCTTCTAGATTCTTTACAGAATCAGGATTGTACCGGTACGAATACCCATATGGACGGAGATGATAAATCAAATACTCCAACTGATACATAGTCATCGAATCAACATAGTGGAATGAAACTGCGAGATCAGAGCAGCATCCAGGACCCTGAAATAGAAAACAAGTCAAAATAATCAACAAGAATTCCAAAGCATGCTCTAGATTTGTCCCAGGAAGAATTCAAATGCACATATGACCTCACAATGAGAAACTTAGTATTATCAGTCATCCACACACTTCAAAGCTTGATATTAACCAAGCAAAATGAATCAGTCAAAGATTTAAGCACCTTTCCAAAAAGGTTGGGCAGACTTCTGCTTCTGTAATCAAGCCAACGATTAAGCTGCAGCTGCCCTCATTAAAGACAGAGAACAAAGTTTTGTTTGCTTTTCCATGCTTCTATTTTTAGCCAAAAACGTTTAAACAAAACTACAGAACGACAGGTAGCTTCAGGCCTGTACAGTGCAGTTATATATGAAAACATACGTGTTCATGGCAGCATTATCCAGAGCATGCAGTCAGGCAGCTGCAACTGTGTTTTGATACGCTATGTGGTATGGCCACATCGTCAGCACTACCCTCCCATGTTTACTCTTGTCCTTCTTATATATAAAGTTTACTACTTTCGTTGACATTACTAAGCATCTCAAGAGCTAAAGGATTATTGGTAATACTTTTGGTATACATTGGCAATACATTACCACTTGGTTTTGATTAGTTCTCAGTCAACTTCAAGAGATTGATACCTTGATTCAGATATTTTTAAAACTTGTTTGCAGCCATCACAATAGTGAGCACCTTAAAACATAGACAGCTGACATGAAAGACAATCTGAGGTATGGTTTGTGAGCTTATTTACCAGATAGGATAAATCACATTTACCAATTTATCCTAAACACAGCAAATACAAATGCTTAGGTGCTTTTTTACATATGAAATGCTCTAGCCACTGAGTACAAGTATAAAGAAATGTTTTTATAATTAATAGATTTTTTTTCTCCTCAGGTTTATCACAAGAAAAGAATCCCAAACTCTATTCCTGATTTTGGCCACCTACACAGATGTCAAATCTTCCTGAAAAATTTGAAGGTTTAATCACGAAAAAAGCAGCTTCGCCACGCACCACAGACTGTGCACGAATCAAACTTTGCAGTGCTGAGTACCTTTAGATCCCTTTCACCTTGAGTGGCTTTTTAAAAATTGTGCAATTCCGACAGGAAATATGAAGGGTAATAGGAGGTTCTTGTAGTAAGAACATTTCAGAAGTCTCTATCCATAACTCCTAGTTTGCATCTTGCTTTTGACTTCTGGATTACATTTTAGTTGACGACTAGCACATAGAACACTCTACAAACAAATGCATCTCAGGATCTCACTACAAAGCTTTGTGGTGTAAAACACATTTAGCTGTCATTATACTGACAATTAACATATCACAGCAGCATAAGATAGCATATAGTGGGTACTAAGGTTCTAAGTTCTAAGGACTTACCTCTATAGCAGGATAATAATTATAATTCCAGTACCAGAAAGTTTTTGGTAGGTATCCTCTGATTAAGAGATGTTCTGGAACAAAAGGATGAAAAGTTTCTCTACCATTTGTATCTCTAGAATCTCCTGCTTCCACATTAATAATCTCCATGCATTTTCCTAGTGCTAGATCTTCAATAGAAGAACTGTGAGAGCACTTGTTGGTTTTAAATGCTGTAACAAATCTCTTCAGAGCTTCTTTGCTTAGAACATATCCTGCTCCTCCACTCATGTAGCCTTGTTTCACGTAAGGTTTAAACCTCCTTCCAAAGTATATTGGTTGTTCAGGACTGTATTTTGAAAGCAGCCATCTCAAATTGTCCAATATAACATACGTATCATCATCTGCCTTCATAAACCAGTCAGCATCATCAAAATAATGGTCATAAACGTATTGAAAAGCTTTAATAGTCTTCCAGTAGAGTTGGTCCCTCCCTTCTTTGGTTTCTAGGCCCACAGCTGGAAAGTCTTTATTTTCCTCAGAGCTCATAAAAAGTATTATATTACAACGTTGGGCCCAAGTGGCCTTAACATGTCTGGCTTTCTTTTCCAGATTCTGAGGTCCAGTCATCACCCAACAGAGTATTTTCACCTTCTGATAGAGTCCTTCTGCAATATTTTTATTTTCATCTTAAAAAAAAATGAAAGAAAGAAAAAAAAGCAAGTTCTTAACCTGTATTACATTTCATTGAGAAGCAAAACAGAGGATCATCTATTTCTTTTTATAGAAATTTTGAGGATTTTATGAAGCTTTACATACATAAAAATTATTGGACACCCTCCTCATGGTGTTGGAAGAACAACGAAAGTTAAAAAGCTGAATATTTTGCCATTTGACTGAAGAAAACTTAATGATGACAATAATAGAGTCAAAATACTATTTTTTGACATAAATATTTAGATTAAGAAAATGTAATAAATATTAAAACAGTAATACATTTCTGAAGGCAAAAGTATATGGTAAGTCAAAATAAAAGATTTTATCACCAAGCCAAGTTAAAACATATTTGTAATAATAATAAGATTTAGAATACTATGAAACTAATATTGTTACTGTGCTGAAATCCTTTTATTCTTGGCAGATAATCCAACTTCTGGAAAGTATGCCATAGCGAGTGAGATCTGCAGGGCTGGCCCTCTTTATCCTTAATGCAATAATAGATCAGTTTTCTTGATTCTCTATGATTGCATAGAAAACACTCACAAACCTGTTTTAACTGAGCAATTTAAAATCTTTTATTTTGAAACTCTTATTTTAAAAAATCACTCATTAATGGTTTCTTCAGCAGATGCATTATATTGCAAGCAATTTTACTCATCCAAATTGCCCTCACCCAAACATGGGTCTACATTCTTGAACACTTTTTAAGTGCAGCTCAATTTGATTTGGACCAAGCACACCCACATGCCTTTGATTGTCTACATATTTAACTTGGCAAACAGCGCCCACAGCGGCCTCTCTCCTGCACCAATTCCGAATGCCATTAATCCAGTCAAATTGATAATTTCTATTTCACTTTTATCTTATCGAATAGGTCAGAAACTAGAAACAGTCCCAGACCAGCTTCTTTAAGGAAAAATGATTAAAAGAATTGAAAACCCTCAGTCACCTCTACAGTGCTAGCAAATAAATCTGCTTATCAAAAACACACATTTGCTATCAATGATTCAAATGATTTGTTATCATTGATACGAATTATTGACAACAACAAAAACATTTTGCATTATATATGAAGGACACAAATTATTATCAGGTATTATAAATACCTTTATGCTGTCCAGAGTCTGCATTGAAATTCATCTGTCCTTGCAGCTGATTACTACCAGAATCTGCTGAATGTTGGCCATGTGGATCATTGTGAAGAATGTGAGGTTGGATCTTAACCTGTTCTTCTAGGATCATGCTGAACAAGAGATAGCATAGGAAAAATCCTACTGCTGATCCAAAAGTGAAGGTTAGAAGGTTCATCAGGGATTTAGAAGAGGCCATTTCCTAAAGACAATAGGCTGTTGAAAACAAATGAAAATTACATTAAGCTTAAAGTAATACAGAAATCAAATCAAGAAATATAGGAAAAATCAAGGAATAACTCCAAAGCAGGAGGCCTCAGTAATGAGCTCCCCTGGACTTGCACTGTAGCTTAAGACCAAAGCAATACAAATATTTATATAAATCTGTATATTCACTGGTAAATTTAGTGCAAGAGATGAAGCATGCATTGTTTAATTTCATAAAGGACAGTCAAAAACATCAACTGTACATAAAGCATTCATTTCTTTAATTGTACTGGCATAATATTTATCTAAGAATGTATATAAAGTAATATTTATTAAAAAGTTAATATATATCCACTTGTTTATTCTCTTGGTCCCAAGAAACCTGCCCTATAGAAGAGTTACTTTTAAGTCTTTTATGAGGATAATAAGAGATGATCGATGACAACCTACAGGTCAGGAGAGAATATGACCATAAGATGTACTCAGGCTCTAAGAGTAAGCAATCTTTTAATAGATTTCAAACACTAACTAATTTTGAGGACTCAGCTGAGATCATTTACATATTTTATATATATATATATACATATATATATATATATATACACATATATATATATATACACACATACACACAGCTATACACACACACGTATAAAAACTCATAAAACATTTCCAGGCATTTGAGGAAAGATCTTTGAAAAGGGCCGAGATATTTTCTAATAAGTCAGTGGCAAAGCTACTAAAAACCAATAACTGTTAACTGTATACTAGAGTCAAGCAAGAACTTTACAGACAAGCTAACAGTGTTTCTTGATTAAGGACATTTTTAAATGTCAATGGGTAAGAACTCAATTTAGTTAGTTAGCCAAAAAAAAAGTAATTTAGGGAAAGCCCAGAGCAACAGTAAGCCAGGCAAGAGCAAGTATTCATATGTTCTACCACGATAACTCACAGCTTTGACTTTTATAGCAGTTATTAAATTATGGCTTAATTATATCTACAATGCACAAGGAAAAACAAACCAAAAAACAAAACAACAACAAAAAAGAGTTATGCAGAACTGGGAGCCACTAGTGTGTGAGAAGATGGGAACCTCTGGGGGGGAAAAAAAAAAACAAAAAAGGGGGGGAGAAGCGTATTGTATTATGTTTGCAACAAGCAAAAAGGAAGGAACAAGCAAAGGAAGCAGTGAACGAGTCTAAAAGAATATAATCTCTTAACATTACTAACTCATGCAATTTACATTGTTTTGCATTTATCTTAAACTTCAAGTTTTCAATCAGAGTAGACAACTCGCAAAACAAAAAATCTGTATGGCACACAGAGTCTGTATGCTCTAAGAATAGAGTTGCACATTCTGTATTTTATTTTACAGCAGAAATTATCTTTTAAAAGGATATTCTGCCTGCCTTCTATGCACTGGATTACAAAAAGGCACTTTATTACTACTGAAAACAACTAACACTGGAGGAAAAACACCATAGGTTCTTAACTTCATGAAGGTTCATTCCTGCAAAGTCTTGCATTCGAGCAGAATCAAAGGTCCATCCACGTACAACAGATTCCAACAAGCAGGGTATTGAACACTGTCAAACACCAAGAATCCTGCCTGAAAAATACCAGGTGGAGAAGAGCTACTGCTACCAAAACAACTTGCTTAGCCAGGGAGTGAGGCCATAAGCAAGGAAGAGTCTACTGAGAAAACACTGTCCTCGAGCAAGCTGCATGAATCACTTGGGCAGCAACACGCCCAGCATCTAGAGCACGAGGGCAGCAGCTCTAAGGTGATACTGCTTATTTGCCCACTACTAGAAAAATGAAACAGAACCGGAAATGCAACTATGAAGCACACAAGGAAAAACAAGAAATTTCACAGCTGCCCCAAATTAACATACCTGTAGTTGTTAAAGAGCTGTAGTTTAAAATGAAGAAAAACACTTTATACAATTTTTAAACATATGTTGTCTTACTTTAATTCTGTGCTCCATCTCCAAACTAACAATAGCCTTTAGACACCATCTTGAAGTATAAAATGTACTACAAAACCACTTGAGACTCAGGCTGTGGAAAAAAATGATAGTTTCTAGCATTATTACTGGAGTCTCACATACCAGTTAACTTTGAGAGGAAACAAGAGGAATTAGATCACGTGTCCTCCAAAACAAACCCTATTTAAGGAAAAGCCTATAGGCACAAGCAGCCTCTAGCATTGAAAAGTACCATTATATTAAAAGCATTTACTGTATTGTTTTGTTTATATTTGTCCCCTCTATATCACCAGCAATAGAAAAGATGAGAGGGCAAAGACAAAACAATGAATTCAGCACACGGAATGGGTAAAAATCCATGCATCCATACAAACTACAGCACTTTCCAGAAGAAATAAAAAAGCCTCTATTTTTCCACTTTTCAGTAGTAGATGCCATCTTGCCATTCAATTTCAGTTGTCTGCTCTAACAGCTGTTAGAATTAATTCTGTTTGGAGAGAGCAAAAGGATATTACTGGAAAGTAACTGCTGATTATTTAACTATGGAGTTGCATAAAACTAAAACTGTGTTAAAACTCTTCAGAAAGAAATGTAAGATAGGATTTCCATTTTAATATTTTCCATACGAACTATATTCATCACATTTAGAAATAACAAGTTGATTTGGCAGTACTCCGTAAGCAAGGAGGTTTTTTGGGTGGAGGCAAGGCCAGATGCTGAGGCAGCACTTGGTAGTTCATACGAAAACTGTGTAACCGGAGACATTTCAATCTAGAACCATCTGCTTTTCATTCTGTTAATTTTGAATCAACAGACTGGGCTGCTACATGCATATAAAACAAATGCAAATATATATGCATGCATACATGCATATAAAAGTGCTCCATTAGCAAATGGGACAGTAGTTTTTCAGTTTTTATATTACATTGATATTTGACACAAGTGTCTTAACTTGTGAACAAAATAACTGAATGCTACAGTAAAAGACTAGAAAAAAAGTGTCTAAAAGATTTTTTCTTATAAGTATCCCCACATATACACTTAGATAGTCAAGTAAGCAGCCTCCTTCACATCAACCAGACTGGCAATTTGATGTTTTAAAACTCTATCACAGAAGTCATTGTCGATTTCACTCAAAATTTAAGTTTTGGAAGTCAAAATCTCCTGCATCCTCAAACTCAGGGCCAATTTTCCTGTGTTAGAGGTTGGCAAATCCCGCAGCCCAATGAAGCAAGGCTGCTGCAGCTCCATGTCCCCATACTAAGCCTGTATTCCCAGTCTCACGCGCACACACACACACTATGCACAGTGCTCACACAGACACACATGGCACCACCGGCCTCATCCTGCTCCCATCTTTAACTGAGCACCCTGAGGGTCTGTTAGCAGGAAATACATAGTTTGATATTTATACAAATATACAGCTTGATGTTTCCTGGCAGCCACAGATGCCCTCCCACACAAAGGGCATGCACTTTGGGCTCTCCTGTCACTGGCTCCTCAGGGGCACATGTGCCTAGGAACTGTGGCCCCAGATCTAGCTGTTGTCACCTAAACCCTCACTGCCTCCAAGTGCTGGCACCAAGACCAGAGTCCCAGTGGCCTGGGGACTAACTCAAGCTGCTGGCATTTTGGTCTCTCCGGCTGCTGGTTCCCCAGGTGCCCCCACACAGGACCCTGCCAGTGCCAGCACAGAGGCCCTCACTCACTCCAGTCCCTCCAGCAGCTGGCACACTAGATGCACAGACCCTAGGACCTGCTGTGGGCACTGACCTCCATAAGCATGTGCAACGACTTCCTTGTGTCCAGCAATAAAGTTAGAAATTGAGTTTATGAAAACACAAGGCAGGCTGTGGTGACCAGGCGATGGGTATGGCCAGACAAACGTATTGAGCAGACATCTGTCTCTATATGACCGGGCTCACTTAACCCCTTATCTCTCTCTGTTTTCCCACAGTTCCCAAACCACCTTGATCCCTGGCCTTTGATTTCCCGCCTAAATGAGACGCAAGCCTTGTGCAGTCCCTAGAGATGCTCTTCTACATCCATAGCACATCCTGTATCACTGCAAGCATCAACTCCTCTCTCGGGTAACTCCCAGCACCTGCAAGCTGATCCAGAGAGCTTTTCTCTCCGCTCACCGCAAAGGGTGTCGCACGGGGGCAACGGGTCAATCGCGGTCCTGTGACAGCCCTGGGAGGGAATGGGACGGGGGGCCCATGTCCCATTAGGTTACTGGGCTCTCCTGCCTGCCACAGAGCCTCTGTGCCCCTTGGAGATGAGTCTTTAATGACACAACCTACTGCCAATCGCTCTTCTGCTCTCGCTCTTCTTGCTCCTCCAAGAAGAGCAAAGATCCTTTCTAAACCAAGGTGCATCTGGGGAAAACCTACGCAATAGAAATGCACGATACTGGAGCCTGCCCATGCGAAAACACTGATATCGTTACGCAATCTCGGAACATGAAACTTCTTGAATGTGCTTCCTCTTGAAACAAGTTCAACAAATAAAAATGTGGGATTTTGAAGTTTACAGAATGCATGACAGAAGCCTAAATATTTTTTTACATATGTGTCATTCCAGAATCATACTACAATAATCTTGGCTTCAGATTTGATAAATTAACTGTGCAGAGTAAGTCTGGCTTGCACACACAGCTGGCTCTGCCTAACCAACGTTGCCTGCATTGAGCACTGCTATGAGCTGCTGCAGCTTCCTGGTGAATCAGTGCACACTGTACTTTTAATTTTAAAAGAGTGACATTTCTTTAAACTTCCTCATGAAAAAAAAAAAAAGGAAAAAAAAGGACAGCAAGTATAAACGACAGAGATAAAGTATTTGGGTGCACGTGAACGGTAGCAGCACTGAGGCAAACACCTTCACTAATCCATGAAGCAGGTGTGGAGAAGGAAAACTCTTGGGCATCTCTTCTTCTTCCCAGCCTCCCAAACCGGGCCCCCTCTTTGAGCAGAACATTTCCATACCCGAGGGCACCCCTCAACCCTGTCCAGTCCCCTCCAGTCTCACTCTTAAAGTATTTGGGTGCACGTGAACGGTAGCAGCACTGAGGCAAACACCTTCACTAATCCATGAAGCAGGTGTGGAGAAGGAAAACTCTTGGGCATCTCTTCTTCTTC